CCTGATGCTTGCAGAGACTCGTCAGTGTTTGTTGCTTCTCCAGCTGCTTGCAGAGATTCGCCCCTCCTGTCTGCTGATCGCAGGGTCTTACTCCACCTTGATGCTTGCAGAGACTCGCCACTGCTTGTTGCTTCTCCTCGAGGCCTGTCCCTTCTAGCTACTTGCAGAGACTCACCCCTTCTGCCTGTTGTTTGTAATAACTCAGACACCCTGGCTGTTGCTTGCAGAGACTTGCCCTCCCTGCCTGCTGGTCCCAGAGACTCGTCACTGCTTGTTGCTTCTCCCCGAGGCCTGTCCCTGCTAGCTACTTGCAGAGACCCGTCACTGCTTGTTGATTCTCCAGCTGCTTGCAGAGACTCGCCCTTCCTGCCTGATGCTCGCAGAGACTCGTCACTGCTTGTAGCTTGTCTTCGAGAACGCCTGTCCCTGACAGCAGCTAAGGGAGACTTACCCTTCCTGCCCGCTGTCTCGCCTCTCCTACCTGCTGCTTGCAGAAACTCGCCCCATCCTTCTGTTTCCAGGGACAAGTTAGTGCTTGTAGCTTCTCCCCAAGAAGGCCTGCCCCTGCCAGCTACTTGTGAAGAATGCCTCCTCCTGCCTGCTGTTTGCAGAGACTCGTCCCATCTTGCCGCTTCCAGGATCTCGTCACTGTGTGTTGCTTTCCCCCGATAAGGCCCGTCCCTGCCAGCTCCCCCCAGGGACTGATTCATTCTTCCTGGAAAACTGTGCGGCTGAGCCATACACTGATCTGAGGACCGACCAACACCCGCCGGGAGCGGTGCACGTGGCACCTTCAGAGTCAGAGAGAGAAAAAGGGCATTGAAGCAATACATACGCATTGCATTGTAGGCTGTCTGTTATCTTTACGCTCTTCATGCCTGCATTTAATTAAACAAATAAATTCAAGTTCTCAGATATTCACACACACACACACACATATATAGGTATATATATACACATATATACATACATATCCACATGCACACACACACACACACACACACACACACACACACACACACACACACACACGCACGCACGCACACACACACACACACACACACACACACACACACACACACACACACACACACACACACACACACACACACACAAACACACACACACGCACGCACGCAACACACGCACACGCACACCCACACCCACACCCACACACACACATATATGTATATATATATAGTGTATATGTGTATGTATATATATAGCATATATAGTATGTGTATATATATATATATATATATATATATATATATATATATATATATATATATATATATATATATACACATAAATATATATACTACTGCACATACTTAAATATATATCGGTATATTTACCTATCTACCTATGTATGTATGTAACTATCCTTACATGTATCTATAAATATGAACACAAACACAAGCATATTAACGTGCACACAAAGACGAAAAATAAACAATATGAAATGATATTGAATCGTGACGTTGCGAGCTCGCCTAGAGTTCCTCGTCAGACGAACAAATAACCGAAATAGATGAACAAAGAGAATTCTGACTAAACTACATAAAGAGGCAAGAAGAATAAGAGTTGAATCATGTATCAGGAGAGGAGTCAAAATCAAAGAGTCTGAGGGAAAGCCTTAGTGATCAGCAGCGCTTGAATTGAAATAAAGCATTTTTTTAATTGATAGTGTCTCTCATAATATTCCTCTCGTATGAATTCGCCGATTTATGAATTTAGCATCTTTACGGCTTGGTTGATGGCCTTTATCGTGTAAGTGAATTAAAACTGATTCTCTAGCGTACCTAACATCACGTTTATACTCACTATTTAAAAGCTTTGCCTGTTTTCGCTTATATAATTACACTGAAATACGTAAATATCGAAAGTATCATGAACACTGGACGCATTGTATCTCGCTAAAGAATTACGCAGTGTTTTCGGGTACGTAAAAAAACACAATTCCAACTCTATTAAACATACGTTTATCATCGAACAATTAATAAATTACTGGCACTATCCTTGTGCATGTTACGAGAAAGAACATAACATTTCTGGTTTGAGAAAAAAGTAAACGTTTTAAAAAAGATTTTGAGCTCCTGATTAATGATGATCGCATCGTTTGGCCTAAAAATAAAGGCGTGAAGCTATTTTGAAATAGTTTGCATCATCCTCCCCGTAGGACAGAGAAATGCAATAACAATAATGATAATAAAACTAGTATACATTCAAACACACATTAGTTTACATCCTTTTCGGAATGACTTCATCTTTATTCTTAAATCTTTGTACATCTACACCTTGAATTCCCCTCCCCCCCTTCATTCGGTCTGTAATGAATATCCATTTGCATTTACTTACTTTTGCATTTTTCTTATTTCGGAAAGAAAAAGTTGAATCAGGTCGAGCATTCTGATCTTCCATCTGTCTTAACCTCGTGTTCAGTTCTCGAATATTTCTCGTTTTTCTCTCCAGGCGATCCTGTGTGGGAAAGGCAGAAACAGGATTATTTATCTTCTTTTCCATTCCACTCTGTTCCCTTTCTTCAGCTTCTGGTTGTCTGTTTCTCTCCCCCTCCTTCTTTCTGGTCATCCATTTTCTGTCAGTCTGTCTGTTTGTCTGTCTGCCTCTCTCTCTCTCTCTCGCTCCTTCTTTATTTCTCTCTCTCTCTCTCTCTCTCCCTCCTCCACCCCCCCTCTCTCTCTTCTGTTCTCTCTCTTTCCCTCTCTGGTCATCTATTTTTCTTGTATGAGGGAAGGGGGTGACCCCCACACGGACCAAATCTACTGCAATGTTTGTTAACATTTGATTTAATATAATCTTCGCTATTTCACTTATTATCGTTATCTTGATTTTATTTTAATGCTTTTACTTTCAGATCATTTGCATTTTTACATTTAAAATCTAACCTGCAACTTCTTATTTTCTCTTTGCAGCGTAATCAATTCCTTTTCGGCTTCAGTCCACTTCTCCATTACACTACTCTGAAAAGTGAGGGAGTTTAGTTTAACAGATAGCTGCTTGCTCTGTCTGACGCTCGTTCATACACATTTAAAAACAATTTTCTTCGGTGTCACACTAAGAACAATACTAACAGTTCAACGACTAAGAAGTCTAAGATAATGGAAGGACATTTTCACAGCCATGCATAACATAATAAAGAATAAACAACATAATGTACGACTTAACAACATAATGTACCAGTTATAATCGTCCTTACCATCGAGACTTTCCGGAAAAGTTGCATGCTATGGTCGTCTCCATCGGAAGGTTTCTTCATCATGTCCTTCGGAGTCTTTCCTCTCCTGTTACTCTTGTTTGTAGAAGCCCCACGTTTCACCAGCGCGAACAAAGCGAGGAGGTGCCCTTGTGAGGCTGCGAGGTGGAGAGGCGTGTCCCCGTTATCATCCTTGGCGTCCACATCAGCCCCTCCCTCCTGAAGGATCTCTAGCGTAGTTAGGTGCCCGAAGTAAGCTGCGTAGTGTACGGCCCTCTGTCCTGAAGATACGCTCGGCTTATATCTTACTTGAATGTATCGCGTAACAGTTCCCATTTGAATGTTACATTAAACAAGTCTTCAAGATATAGAAAGTGAATGAATAAAAATAAAGTGGATCCCTATATATTGCGGAACGGCATCATTTCGAGTGAAAACGTAAGAATCATAAGCGACGGAGTTACCGTCTTTTACTACTAGTGAACTGTATCATTCTTTTATTTGCTATTTACGAGAACGTATGTTATTGTCATATTCACCGATTACTTCTTAACTCATGGAAACAACAGTAATCATTTTCAAAACTGGGATCACCATTTTTCATTGATATTATCATTATTATATTATAATTATTTTGTTATTGCTATTATCATTATTATCATTACTGTTATTATAATTATTATTTTTGTCATTATTATCAAAATTATAATTCTCATCATTATCATTATCATTACTGTTATTATAATTATTATTTTTGTCATTATTATCAAAATTATAATTCTCATTATTATCATTATCATTACTGTTATTATAATTATTATTTTTGTCATTATTATCATAATTATCTTTCTCATTATTATCAAAATTATCATTCTCATTATTATCCTTATCATTACTGTAATGATTTGTATTATCACTTAATTTCTAATGTGTATTCTTCCTACAAATTTAAAAAGTACTGGCTCTCTCCCTGGCGACCTAGGCAATCCCTTGGCTAATCCCTCTGCAACATCATATGTTATCACTCTGGAACCTTTCAAGCTTCCAAAGGGAAAATAATGGGAATCGGAATACTTCCCGGGCTCCATGACCAGGTGTGAAGGAGAAAAGTCCTCTTAAATCCATTAAGGAAATCTTAACTTGGTAAATATGAAAGTATCTCATATAGTAAATTCCTTGTAGAGAAGACCATTGATGTTGTGTCAATCATGGGTCATTGAAGTACATTGCTAGATAGTTGAGGTGATCCTTAGATCATCCCACAACGAGATGGTAGCCTGATAATTGAAGTTTCATCTCCAGACGAGAGTGAACGTATGCGTGCGATATGTGACATTCCTGAGCTTAAGTCTCAATCAGTGCAAGGGAATTATTTTTTCCCGAGACCTGATGAGATATTCTGAGGAGAAAATGTTAGAGAAACTAAAGAAATTAAAGGCAGTGGGAGTAAAATGTATTAAGAAGTTGATGGTTTGGAACAATCGACACCAGCTTTTCTAACCAGCTGTCACCACATCCACAGGGGCCTCCGCTGCTAGACAGAATGCTCCTGAACCAAAAGCTCAGGTCCACCCGTTGACCAGACAAAGAAATCCTGAGTCTGTCCAAAGGAAGCCTGTGGAAAATAGTTCCACCGGTAAACAATCCTTCAAAAGGTACTACCAAGGTGCTCGAAAAGGACAGACTAAAGGTGTAGGATCAATCATCTTATGGAAAGTTAGTTTGTCAATCTGAAGAATTGGATACCATAATCCAATGGAATTGTCAGGGAATTCATGCAAAATGGGAGGAACTACAACATCTGGTACCATCATGTAATCCAGTTTGCATATGCCTGGGGAAAATTATCCGATTTCCCTGAGAGGGTTCCAAGTTCAAGCCCATTATGAGACCTTTGATAATGGACCTGGAGAAGTAGCAGGATATTCCCTTCCAGACAGTTGAAGGCTGTGAGAATAGGCTTGGCATGACTTTACACTGTGGCTTCCATCTACCATCCTCCACATAATTCCAACATAGATGATTTGGAAGATTTACGTGAGGAGTTGCGTCATCCATTTCTACTCTTAGGGGATTTCAATGGTCAATATCACCTCGTGGGAGACACTTTGTGCCACCCACAAGGATGGCACTGGAGTCCTTGTTCTCAAGAGTAGAAGCAGTTTTACAGTGACACACCCACACATTTCCAAATTCAAACTGGGACATTCTCCAATACTGACCTGTCAATTGGTTTACCTGGTTCACAGTTGAATTTCACTTGGCAGGTCATGGAAGATTTGCATGGAAGCAACCACTTTCCAATACTTTTAGAGGAGGTGAATGGTATTCCAGCTGATGAAGTACAGTTGATCTATTTAAATCAACTGGAGTGGTGCATCTGTGAATGATTTCCAGTGTGTTCAAGATGCTGTTAATCACGGTATATCACGAATTCGCCTTGCAACAGAAACATCCAGTCTCAAAAGTAGTGGGCAGTACTGTCGACCTCTGGTAATATGGTGGTCTGATGAATGCCAACAAGCTATCAGAGCACGAAAAGCTGCATTAAGGTAGTTGAAACAACGGTCCTGCAATATCTACAAACTGGTAGCAAAGCAAAGTGAACAACCTCTCAACCCTCGCCCTGTTCGCCACATAACGGCTCGTGAAACGTTTTGTCAGATCTACTATTCAACTGAATTTGGTGCACAGTGCACAGTGTGCCCCCTCTCTAAATATTGTTGTTGTAGGCGGCCTTAGGAGACGGAAACTGAGAGCCGTGTTGAAACGATGAAAGGCTGGCTTTGTGTCAGTCATGAACGACCCTCCAGGAAGCATGGGCACGGTATTCCCTTGGTTAATAACCTAGCCCTTGTTCCTTATGGGGGAGCCTGAGGGGTAGACCATTTCTTCTCCCCACTTATTTCAGGCTCACCATGGCCAATAATGAAGATTTTTTCCCCCTTATTAGGGGCTTTAAGGCTTGTCCCCTCGTCAACTAGTTTATCTAAATTTTTCTTTGGTCTTCTGACTTTTTCCAAAACTGTGCTTGGCTCTGCTCCCCTCCCATCTTATCAAGATGTCTCAGCTTCTCTCTAATATCTCTTCCCCCTACCGTGAACTATCATCTCTCTACTCCCCCTCTCCCCCAGTTAAATTTTCCAGTCTAAATCCAGATACTCCAATTTCTACCACTTCTCCAATGCCTAACCCTTCTCCTTCTCACACTACCTGCTGCACCAAGCAATCTAAATGTTCCACCCCATCTTCTACCACATCCTCTCCTACGCCCACCTCTCTGTCTGCTCCTCAGACATTTATTCTCAGAAAATCTCAGACCTCCTCAGCCAACTCCCCTCCAGAAACTCTTGAAGACATCTAAAGCTTCCTAAACTTGACCCAAGAGAATGCTCTGCTCCCTCATCCACCCTCCAATCCCTCCATTCCTATTTGCTCTTCAAAGTATTTGCAGATATCCATCCTCCTCCTCCTCAAGTCCCCCAACCCCTCTTCCTCCCACTCTCCCTAAAAACACCCCATCCTCTCCTCCATGTGCATCACCACTCCCTCTTCCTTCCCTATTATCCTTACCACTTCCACCTGGGTGCTCACGTGACTTACTTATATCACAACAATGTCCATCTCCAGATCCCTTCCTCCTGACATTCTTTCTGATACTTCACCGCTTTCCCTTGTTCCCATACTCCATTCTCTAGTTTCTTCTCCTATTTCTCCAAATACTATTTCTACCCGTATTACCCGATGATCGTTTCATATTGACTCTTTTGCAGTTTTCCTAATACAGTGTAAATCCTTTCCTCAGAAACATACTCTCTGTTTGATCTGATCACCCCATGCCCTTAACCACTTCCCCTTTTGCAAATGCCCGTCGTAATCCATTTGCTCCTCCTCTATACCCTTTTCACTACCATTCTATACTATAACGCTCTACACCTTTGCCATCTAGCCCATTTCATTCCTAATCGTTAACTATTCTCTACCCTTTTCGCCACAATGCTTTACCACAATGCCATATGACCCTTGATGTCTAACACATTTATTTCTGCTATCCCTTAATCATTAATTCACGGTGCGCTTTGTCCAAGCGAATCCAAGGATATGATTAATCAAATGGGTGGAATGAAGTTTACCGTCTTCTTTCATGAAATTTTAAATCAATATTCGATGATACTCACAGACTCACAGACACACGACTGTCTTCGATGCGTAATTCATTCATGAGGTTATTGTAGACACTATATTTTTGGGGGACGACATTTTTTCTACGGAGGGGCACTGTA